TAAGGGGTAAAAAGTGTATTTTTACTATATCTTAAAATCCTACCTAAAGTTGTAGCTCAGCCCCCTTGTATCAGGAAATGGAGGCATTATTCTGGCTTGCTACAATGTTAGAATGACAATGATCTTTGTTTACGCTAAACTTTCAGCACATGGGAAGAACGCCTTTTTCTTACTGTAAACTAGGCCAGAGTAATTTCTGTAAATCAGAGAGCGTATCTGGCAAAAGAAGGACTACAATGCAGCTCTCGCCACCCAGCATCTTTGTCCATATGCAAGAAGAGCTGTAGAAGGATTCCCAGTCTTACCTGCACTTTGGTCTTGGGAGAAGTGGTCCGCAGCAGCTGAAGGGACCTTCTGGGTGCTTGGATAGCCCAGAAGCCACATAGTGAAAACAACCACCAGCCACACTCACCGGAGTCTGGGTGTTTTCCAACCACCAAATTCCTGCCTGCTGACTTCCTTATTTCCTAATTGCCTGTGTGTATTTGGAGCAGATTCCTGCAGGTCACCTGGCTGAGAAGGTTCAAATTCCCTACTCCTGCAATTGGAAACATTGCTGAAGTTAGTACTCCCGCTCAAAAAGAAAAGAACTGTTTGAAGCCTGACCCAACCTAACTGTGTTGAGCACATAGGAACTACTTCATTTACACTCTGGAATTCTGGAATTCCTCTCAGTTTCTTGCTGGAATGGATGGTTGCCTGAAAAGGAAACCGTATATCTGGTTCCATCAAAGGGAATTAATATGTTTCCTTAAAGGACCCGTAACTGCATTTACCCCCTCTAAATATCTCCAAATGGCTGGCAAGGTGTGCCTGAAATGTTCATTCTCTTAAAATAATTACTTTTCACATTCACACATCCACATATAGAATCGTGCCACCTTCATCACAGGCAAAAAAAAATACGTTTTTTACAATCTGCTTACTTACTCCTCGGGTGTAAGCACTAAACCTAAGTTTACTCAGTAACCTTCATTACAAGGCTAGTTCTAATTATTGGGTGGTTTCTTTTGTGCATACTGATTAATAAGCTCAAATGCAGAAACCTTCATTCTAGTAACATCTAAGAGGTAACACATAAAGGACAGAACTATAACAGGGAGCCTGAGGGTAAGGGCACTCTTGTGACCTTCGGCACTGTTGTTAGTGAAGAAGGATCATCTCACAAAGGCCTGCTTGAAGCTTTCTGCATGTTTTTCAACAATACCTATTGAAAAAGTACAGAGAGGGCCAGGTGGCAACTCTGAATGCAACAGAAGTCAGGATAGACAAGTAGAAGAGGGAACAGCAGAGAAGGATTGTTCTGGAAAGTGATTGCTACTGACAATCAAGTAGATGGGACCTACTCCTTTTGGTGCTGAAGATTCAGGCCAAACATGCACTTGTTTCAAATATACATGGGCCTTTAGTTCTCCAAATCACATATGGCTCCTGTGCAGTTGTCTATGAACTTGCCAAAAACGGTATTTACGATCGTCTGAGTCATTCTTGCAAAGACAGACTATTACATGGTTGAAAATACATGGCTGATCCCTAAAACTACAGAGGAAACCACTGAGTCCTCAGACACTAGTTTAGGCAGAGATACTGCCTACACTGCACCTACATATGCACCTACACACGCACCTACACCAGCAGGATCTGTTTCACACAGGAGCATTTAGCAACAGCATTAAAAAAACTCTAGATTGCAAAATTCCAAAAGAACTTCACAGTTTGCAGGTCCTAACTTTTGGTTGACAGGTAAAAGTCCTAAAATGGGCCAATGAGATTTAACAGTTAATGTTAACAGTACGTATATGTTTTGTATTTTGATGACAACACCTGAAAAATAACTCTCTTATTACTGTATCTATTCTGAATGCTAATGGTAATTCATGTGTACTGTTAAAATAAGTAGGGTTTACAGATTATGTCAGTGGAAGTTGCCTATAAGAGGCTCCAGACATAACCAAGTGTTTCCAAATTTTCCATTTGAAATGTATAAGCATTATAGCATACTGTTATTAACTACTTTAAAAAAAATCAGCTCATAGAAGTACATTCTTAGTGCAAATGGAAAACAAATGGCCTTATTTTATCACTCTAGACTTCAGAGAAAACCAAGTTCTGTACTGTGCCTGGTGGCCTGGCAGCAGTGAGGAAACAATTTGAGAAAGTACAGATGACTTCTTCACAAAAGACCTTTGCTCAGTACCAGCACCAGCACAAATCTGTACAGGTAACAATAGCATTTTTAATACTAACTAATGAGGTATGCCCTGCTAGATAGCTTGAGGAAAAAATGATTGCTTTACTGAAGAGTTTTCATTATGACTAAGATGTTTCCCTAATGTTCATACTCATAGAATTTTCTCTTTGAGATATACTACGGGAATCATGTATTTTTTTATGCACACAAACACTCAATATAGGCAATACTAGACTTACAGCAAATAGATGAGTAAAGCAGATTACTACCATAGCAGTATTTTATACTGAACCTTGTCTATAAGGTATCAAGTATCATGGTGATATTTTGCATATATTGTACTTGATGTGATGTTAAAGCCATTCTCTTTCAAAAGGAGTTTCCTGCTTCCATTGAATTAAATCTAATCAACTCCCCTAAACAGATCAAAAATGGCACAGAAGAACCCAGATGCTACATAAAAGTAGAACAAAGCAGCAGCTAAGTGTTATTTTAGATAAAAGGTCTTTACATTTTATTACTTCATTAGCATATACCATGAAAAATTGTTGTAGGAGATAATGATTTTGGCCTATGTGAAATCCCTTATAATAAAACACATTGCACAATCTGTCCTGCACACTCTGAAAAACAGTAATGGCGCAGTAAATTGCTTTACCATCCTGCACTTCTTGGAGAGATTTTTAAGCAATATTGCTCTCCAACTTTGTAGAACAGGACACATTAACATTCTGCCATAGGTTCATTATCATGTTAAAGAAGCATCATCATATCTACCAGTCATCTCTCATTTCTTACACATTAATACCAATATCAACAATTTGCACAGAAGACACAGGAGAGAAGACACAGTTTGTTGCAGATGTATTAAAGCATTTTTAAGCAAGCAGAAAAATCCCATAGTTGGACATAATCATACTGGAGCATAATCCTTGGTATAGGAAGTGTTATGCACATACTTTTCTGATGACGTGGTCCAACCTAGCTGCCACTTATCTGGATGAAGAACTGTGTACAGAAATTATAAGACTTTTTCTCTTACTCAGAACCAAATAATTTCATTTCTGTGATGTGAAGATGCATTTTCCCTGGCTAATAGTGACATCTAGTTTTCCACAAAGCCACTATGATGGTTCCACTTCTTCAACAAAGATGTGACCTCTAAGCATACTTATCCATGTATTTGTCCTCTGTGGCTAGTTGAGGAGGCTCTCTCAAATCATCAGCAGAAATAGTCACATTCACAAGAAATAAATGGACAGACTATATGGAACAATCTTTAAGTTAAATAACTTTCTGCAAGACCATAAAATCCCATTTCTATCTAACGTAACTGCACTCTCATGGAAAATGGGATTATACACTTAGGTAGTTGAAAGATTATTCAAGGTCACTGAATCAATCCCGGAGCAAACCAGAGAAATCATGTTGTTTGAAGACATATCTCCAGATCTGGATAAATTCAAACTATTAATCCAAGCTAAAATAAGGAAGCAATTCGTTTTTTAAACAGTAATCTGAATAGCTGAACATTTTACTGCATATTCAATTATTGCATAAGGAGTGCATGGCTTTTCATTCAAAATATTGACATCACATATGCAAATAATAACAACTATTTGTCTTTCTTTTTTTCTCGGGCCGCAGCCATCACTCATAGCTCTCTTGATTGTAAGGGAGATCGGTTCCTTGTGAAAGGTGCCATATTACCAATAGGATGCACTAAACTCTTGTCCAGCATGGTGAGCAGCAATGAAAACTGATCACGGAATTGCCATGTGCTCACAAACTCAGCGAGAGTTTGTTTAGAGATCTGGTCTTTAATTTGACCACTGGCATTGTGAGCACCTTTTATCATCAGCCACCAAGCTGAGAAGAGGTCATGAGCTTCAGTGTTACTGTTCTGCAAACTGCCAGCCTGGAGTGGTTGGCTACACCAGCTCAGCTAGCTAGCTGCTCAGACAAAGTCTCACTATCCAGTGTCAGACGCAAGCCGTTTCTGGCAAGTGAGCTGAAACTCCTACATGGGAAGGATGAGTGGAATATATTGAAAGTATCTGATAGTCACTCAACCATATAGTATCATATGTCAGGAATGACACAGGTATAGCTACACCTCCTTCATTGAGGGTCATTCCAGACAAATTTTCTAAGACTGCTATTTTAGCAATTGCCAATTTTCTAGCGATTGCAGAGGATAAGACTGATTAACGGGACAGTGTTAGTGAATGGTGAAAACCTTAACTTTTTATGAAAATCTTCCATATAGTGCCCAAAACACCCTAAATATATGCATACAACTAAGCAAGGCTGACAAATCATAGAGAGGAAGTGCAGATAAGTGAAGTTCTTATAAGAAATTTCTGCAACACTCTCACAGTACTGATGCACAGATGATACTGTGATAAGAACATAAGCAGGTAAAAAAGCATAGCTTTGAGGGAGAAATGAAGATCCACACCAAGTAAATCATCAATCAGTCATTCTATTGTTGCTAATTTTGTAACGGAAGCTTTAGGCTCACAATTTACTTCCACTGCTGCCTAAAGGGAACTGCAAGTTTGTACATGCTGATCATTTAGAACAGTAAGTTCTAAATATGCCAATACATAAATGATATTATATTAGCCAACTTCCCACAGAGCTTATATGATGACCATAATGTACAGTTCAACTAAAAGCAATATGCTTCAAATGTGAGGGAGTAAAAGGCTTTCTTGTGCTTGGACAAGCTTTTGGGCCATTTGATCCCCTTGAACAATACATACATACATATATAGAATTGTATACATGTTTTATGTACATATGCATATTACATACATATTCTGAGCTGCAAAGCAATTTTATTTTTTAAAAGGAAAGTATGTTTTTTCTGTTGTCAGAACAGAAGGAAACTGCAAAAATGTCAACTCAAAAAAGCAAACCTTGGTCTAAAATACACAGAACAGTTACTGAAAATTCAAATCTTGGCACATTTTGCAATAAGAATTCTATCATCTAAATTATTGCAGCGCAGAGGCACTAAAATTGATGTATAGGCCACTAACATATAAAATGCGGATAGCAATTACAGTTCTTTTCAGTAACAGAATCTGAATGCCTACATAAAAATGCACTCCTCTAACAAAACGTATACAGACTTATTCTCAGATTTACATCTTTATTTTTTTAAATAGGTTAGAATGACTTATTATCCAGAGACACAACAGGACACTACAGCCCTCTGTATTAAGTACCACACAGATATGCATGGGAAGGCCAGCAGCCCCCATAAAGGGTGACTTGAAACAAACAGAAGAGAATGGAGGGCAATGGAAGTCTGAAATAAAACTAAAATGACCGTAAGAAACCATTCGTGAGCTAGCAGCATGCCAACAATCATCCAGCTGACAGTGTTTTCTGAAGCTCACTCATGATATGGCATAGAATAAACAAAAAGTAATTGAAAGGTGATTCTTAGGCCACAGGAAAAGCAACTGTATAATTGTCCTTTCACTCCTGCCACCGAAAATGACGTTGAGTTCTCCCTCTGTCCTCCTCCCCTGCACAGCTGGAGGCGAGCTGTTCCCTCTTGACACCACGATGCGGGATCTGGTTGATTAAATAACCTTG